CGAGCGCGTCCACCGTCACGTCGTAGCCGCGGCCCCTCAGGGTGTCGGCCAGCGGGGTGTACTTCTCCCGCTTGCGAGCCCGGGCATCGGTGAAAGCCTGGCGCCGGTTCTCGAAGGGGATGGTGACGTCCACCATCACGATCTTCTTGGCCTCCTGGTCGGTGATGACGATGTCGGGGCGCAGCTGGCTCTTACTAAACTTAGGCTTTCCAAGTACCTTGAAAGTAGGACTTAAATTCATAAGTCATATACGGTACTGACCCTCTGAACATCTTTGATCCTAATTAGTAAATCCACAGACTAAAAAAATAATACTATCTTAATACTGTCCAGTTAAATCACTCAGTCTTTTTTCTGTGATTCTAAGATGGCCTGTAATGCTGAGTTTTAAGCAACAGACTGGAAAGGAAAACAAAGAAAATGCTGAGTAAAAAATATAGCAAGAGAATATTTAAGCGTCAACAGGGTTTAAAAAAAATGCCACTGGACAGTCTGTTCAATTATTCATTTTGCCAGCCTGATTGATAATTTATGCAATTTATAGTGAAGAATCTTATGTTTTAAATCTCATTAAATGTCTATTAAATACAGCATTTCTTCATACTGAAGTAAAATTGTTTTTGCTTAATTTATAACCTGGTTTTCTTTTTTGTAGCAATTTTTCTGTGAGGATTAGATCAATTATTACATTGTTCACTTAGTACGTTTCCTAAAGAACATTTAATCCTGTTTTAATAAGTTTTTTTTGCTTGGCAATACAAGGTTGGCTTGAACCAAGAAACCTCTTCTGGAGTTTTAATGTCTCCTTAAATCAGCGCAGAACAGAGATGACTTACAGAGAAGACTCTACCAGTTTTTTAAGCCTTCCAAAAAAGCAGAACACACAAGTTTAATACATCAGGTTAGGCATGCAGAAGTCGTTGTTTGTGAATGCATTTATCTGTTTAAACATCCTGAACAGATGAGGCTAGAATTTTTTTATATACACATTTAGAGGCTCCTTTTTAAACTATTCATGTGGGCCCCAGTTTTACAGGGTGATTCAGGAGACAAATGCTAGCATCCACCCAGAGTCTCATTTATCAATATGGACCATGCAAAAACCTTTGCAGTCTTTAAATCTACACTAGATCAATATTTTAAATGGCTTATTTCAGTCACAAGTGTTGGGCTAGATACCTGGTAATAAGTAGGGCCAGCATTCTATATAGAGGATATCTGACTAGATATTAAAATCTGTTGTTTTGAATCAGGCTCTGCAATGACATAAGTGTCAGCCCATTCAGTTCAGCTGGTAAAATTGTGCTTCCTGTAGCATAACTAGTGGTGATCAAGTGGGTCATGAGCCCCAAGTACTGAGTTAAAGAGACAGGACAGCACTTGGGGAGAGGTTGGGGTGTCACTACTGTTAGAGGAGGTGCCACCAAATTCAGTGTTGATGTGTTCAGGTGGCAACAGGATTCAGCAGCACTTCCCCTTGCTCCTGTGGCGTCTCCCACAGGGTAGAGCACTGTGTTTTGTGTAAATCTTATCAGTTATGCCTCTGTACACTTTTGTATGCTTTGTCAGAGATCAGAAGAATTAGATACAAGACTGAAAAGAAAATTAAGACAAATACCACTAATAGAAATAGTGGCATCATGCCTTATAAAAATATAAGGCAAGGACATTGTACTTTATTTAAGAGAGTGTGTGTGTGTGTGTGTACATACATTTCTTTGGATTGTGAATATATGCTATAGGAAAAGATGCTTTTATTTTTGAATGCTGTACATATTTCTCTCTTTTTTAAATTTTACTGGAGGTGGCACACACTACAAGCATATTAATACAAATTTCACTATGAGTTGGCATAAATTATGGTCTCCTCTGGGTATAAAATGCATAGTATTCTTAAAATAATCCATGTAACAGACTGGCAGATTTGATTATTTTCTTTGGTTTTTTTATGTGTTTGAATGCATGACTACTTCACAAGGTTAGCACAAAATTGTCAATCCGATTTTAAATTTTACCCAGTCTCCTAACTATTGTATATGACTTCTATGTGTATAGATATTTTCTGTAGTTGATGGAGGAAATTCACATTTAACATCCAACACAGCAAACAAGCTGAGGAGAAGGGGGATGAAGTACTACTTCTGAGTATTGGCCAGAAAGAGGTCGGTAGGGAATTTTTTGGTAAATCCTTCTTATTGTACCTTTTAAGTGGTGAGAGCTGGATTGGAGAGTGCTGGATAAAAGAAACTCCAGAAAGGTAGCTGTAGAGCTTGTACTGAACATGCTTAGAGAGGGCAGGGAGATAAGAGCTGGAATGTAATTGGAGAGGCAGTTGGATGAGTCCTGCCATTCAGTGATGGGATTTTATAAAAGTGTGAGATTAAAGTGGGCAAAATGTTTTCATCATTAGTCTAAGGCATGTACCCAGAAATATTGTCCCATGTTTTTTCTGTGGCTGATACCTTTTTGCAGAATGTGAAAGAGAGGGTTGCATTTTTTCTTGTTGTAGGATTTTTCTGTTTAAGGATTTACTGTTGTTGTTTCTTAAACTATTTATTGCATTTATATATATATAAAATTCATGGTCCACTTGTTCAAAGCATGCAAATTTTTTTATTATTTAGAAAGTATGAATCTCATGCATAAGTTGTATGTTACTGAAAAAGAACTCTGTCTTATCTGTAAAGAGCCACCACAGTTAGTTTAAAAGATTCCAATTTAATAGATTATATTGCTATGGTTTCGTTCTATGAGATTCAGAAGACTTCAGCGTTCTCAAGTTCAGGTAGGTGGGGCCTGCGGTGGGTGGGTGCTAAGCAGCTGTGGGAGGCAGCTGAGAGGAGCCAAAGAGGGTCAGCCCCCTCCCCCCAGCTCCTATTTGGCCTATCCCCCCAGGGAGCCATGCAATGAGTCCTGCCCAGCATGTGTGACAGTGAGGGACTAGGGGAAGAGGGGGGCACTTACCTGCCCCCTTCTCCAGCAGGACAGGGACAGAGGCAGTGATCTGTTGGGAAGAGACGGCCTCCACCTCACCCCAACGGGAAAGAAGCTTTTTTACCTGATTTGGCTGACTTGCTTGACAGAGCTTTAAACCAGTGTTTCCCAACTGGTGTGCCATCAGGCATGTCCAGGTATGCCGCGGCATTTTGGGCTGGAGCCACGCCCCCGCCTCCTGTGGACACAGACAGATGGGGAGCATGGCTCCAGCCCAAAATGCCGTCCGGCTGACTGTGTACCACCCCTTCCCATTGGCGTCCAGTTGGCCCCTCCCCCCCCCCACCGTCAGTGTCTGGCTGGCTGTGCGCCACCCTCTCCCCCCAACCCTTGCTCCACATCCAGTGTGCCGCGGTGGTTTTTTATTTAAGTAAGTGTGCTGTGGGGTGAAAAAGGTTGGGAAATGCTGCTTTAAACTAAAATTGCTGGGGGATGGATGGACAACCATAGGAGCAAGTCCAGGAAGTGACAAACACATAATCAGCAGGTCAGTAAATACAATCAAGCTTACTCCTACCCCTGCCTAAGGATGGGACTCTCCTAAACACACAAAGAAGCATGGGGCTTCTGATGGCAGGCTTAGCTGCCTTTACGCAAATGCCAGGAGCATGGGGAACAAACAGGAAGAACTGACCCTTCTGCTAAGCAATAACAAATATGATCTCATAGGAATAATGGAGACCTGGTGGGACTCCACCTATGACTGGTCCACAGGTATAGATGGATGTACGTTGTATGGGAGGAACCATGTTGAGAGGATGGATGTGAGGGTGTAACTATGTCAAGGAGGAGTACACTTCCCTGCTAGTTGACTTTGGCACCAAGGAGGGCAACTCAAAACCCTCTGGGTTAGAATACAAGGAGAACGTGGTGAAGGGGGTATTACTGTGGGAGTCTATTACAGACCTAACCAGGAGGAGGAGCTTAACCACAAATTCTCTAGGAAACTAACAGAGGCTGTATGCTCTCGGTGCATGGGTGATTGCAACCACCCTGACATCTCATGGGAAAAGCATTCAGCTAAATCTGAGTGGTCACGCAGCTTCCTCACCTACAATGACAAGCTCTATCTGACTCAAGAAGTCCACGGGTTGAGAAAGGGTGAGGCAGTGGTAGATCTGGTTCTGGCCAAAAGGGATGATCTAGTGAGTGACCTGAGGAAGCTTGGTGATAATGATCACAAGTTGATCACTGTCTCTATCCATTGCAAAGCTGACAAATCAGTCAGCAATGCTGAAATCCTCAACTTTAGAAAAGCTGACTTTCATAAGCTCAGGAGGTTGGTTGTCAAGGTCCTAAAAGATCATGATTTGACAGGGAAGGGAGCCTAAGATGAGTGGTCGCTCCTTAAGGATGCAATCCTAAGAGCACAAGGGAAGTCCATTCTGGCCCATAGGAAAGGTAGTAAAAGGGCTGGGAGACCCCCTTGGCTTAGTAGGGAACTCATGGACCTCCTGAATTTTAAGAGAAGCTTATACAGGTTGGAAGATGGGAAATACCTCTAAAGAGAACTACGCACCACTGGCCTGCACCTGTAGTGAGCAGACCAGAAAAGCCCAGGCTAAAACCAGGCTCAAACTGGCTATGGGAATCAAGGACAATAAAAAGTCCTCCTTTGGATACGTGGGAAATAGAAAAAGGGCAGCATCGGACACCTGCTGAATCAAATGGGGTAGCTGACGTCTGACACCCAGGAAAAAGCTAATCTCCTTAATAATTACTTTGCGTCACTTTTTCATCACCCTGCCTGATAGAACGCAGGATTATGAGGGTACAGGTGATCACACGCTTACACTTGCCAAAGACCTTAATGGGGGAACACCTTGAGAGGCTGGACATGCATAAGTCAGCGGGCCATGATGAAATGCACCCAAGAGTGCTAAAAGAGTTGACTGATATCATAGTGCGCCTAATGGCAAGGATATTTGAGAACTTGTGGCTCTCAGGAGAGGTTCCTGAAAATTGGAAGAGGACCAATGTGGTGCTTATCTTCAAGGAAGGAAGATCCAGGGAACTACAGGCTAATCAGTTTGACCTCAATCCCTGGAAAGATCATGGAAAAAATTATTAAAGAATCCATCAACAATAAGCTAACAGAAGGCATCATCCTGAGAGACAACCAACACAGCTTCATTACGAGTAGGTCGTGCCTGACCATCTCATCTCCTTCTATGACCAGGTGGCATGTCACCTGGACAAGGGGAGTAGAAGCTGATGTCATTTACTTGGATTTCAAAAAAGCCTCTGATTTGGTCTCCCATGATGTTCCCATGACAAAATTAGGAACTGCAGCCTCGACAACCTTATGGTCCAATGGCTGGGGAACTGGCTCTGTTCTCGGACCCAGAGAGTGACAGTCAATGGAACCGAGTCAATATGGCACATACTGACCAATGGCGTCCCTCAGGGTTTGGTTCTCGGACCAGTACTCTTTAACATATTCATAAACTATTTGAATTCACGTGTCAGAAGCAGACTGGCTAAGTTTGCAGATGACACCAAATTATGGGGAAACGTGGTCACACTAGAGGATAGGCTGGGGATTCGAGCTGACTTGGACAGGCTCACAAAATGGGTGGATCAAAACCTGATGACTTTCAATGCAGAGAAATGCAAGGTGCTCCACCTCAGGAGAAAGAACCCACGTTGTACTGATAGGCTCGGCAGTGCTACACTTGTTAGCACTATGATTGAAAGAGACCTGGGGGTCATGATTGAACATAAGCCACCAATCCGATGCCGCAGCTGGCAAAGCAAGTAAAACCCTGGCTTGCATCTACCAATGCATCTCAAGCAAGACCCATCTTCTTGCTTTATTTGGCCTTAATGAGGCCACAGCTGGAGTACTGCATCCAGTTCTGGGCTCCACACTTTAGGAAGGACATGGAGAAGCTTGAGAGATTCCAGAGGAGAGCCACGCACATAATCACAGGTCGAGAGAGGCTGAGAGGCATGGGACTCTTCAGCTTGGAAAAGCGTAGGCTCAGGGGGGACCTGATGGCAGCCTATATCAGGGGTGTGCATCAGGATCTGGGAGAACGTTTGTTCACCAGGGCACCCCAAGGGGAAGACAAGGTCCAACAGTCACAAACTGCTGGAAGACCATTTTAGAGTGGACATAAGGAAAAATGTTTTTACTGTCCAAGTCTCCAGAGTCTAAAATAAACTCCCTCCAGAGGTGGTGCAAGCACCTACTCTGGACACATTCAAAAAGTGTTTGCATGATTATCTCGCTGGGGTCATCTGACCCCAGCTGACTTCCTGCCCTTTAGGCAGGGGGCTGGACCCGATGGTCTATCCCTAATGTCTATGAAATCTATGAACTTCAGTGTTCTCAGTGGTCTTATGAGAGTCAGAAGACTTCAGTGTTCTCAGTATTTTAAAGTACCATAACAGAAGCAGCTGCGTATTTGTGACTAGCCACAGAGCAGTGTTTCTGTCTGTGAGTAATATATGCCTTATTTTCCCCTTCCTCTGTGTGTGGCTAAAGCAATATGATGTTATTTGTCAAACAAGAACTTGGTGAAGCATTGGGACAGGTTCCCCCTGCATCAGCAGTAAGATGTGGTGGGATCTAATGCATGATCCAACCATCACACCTCCCTCCATGTACATGTGGCATGGCAGGAGGCATGATTGTGTGAATTGCACATTACACCCCATCATGCCTTTAAGTTCACATGTAGAGGTGTCCTAAGTTATCTTTCTGACGGATACTAATGCTGCTTTTAGCAAGCTGGAGATGAATGCAAGGGTATGAAGAAATCAAACTATGAAAATCTTTTCTGTAACTCATTGGGACAAATTCAGTTTTGTTAAATTGCCGTAACTAATAAGGAACAGCAGAAGAATTATGACAGATGCTGACAGACCAAGAGACCCCTTGTAGCATGACATGAACACTTTTAGCTTCTTTCATTCCTTGGAGTCTCAGAAGAAGGGTGATTTCACCTAACTTTCTAAAACTTTTTCCAACTACTCGCTTGGTCTAATAAAAGATATTACATCTATCCAAATAAATTTGCCTGCCTTGTCACGTGACATGAATCTGTTGACACAGTACATATGCCATTCTAAAATATACTGCTAAAGATAAGATGCTGTTTGAAACAGAATTATTTTTGTGGTGGACCTGCCATTTTTGTGAAGCTAACGGGGTGAACATATGCACACTTGTCTTTATAGTGTAAAAGGGCATATATAGTACTAAATTATAATATGTACCCAAGGCCTTAAGAGTACCTATTTATATAAGTCTTATCACCATGGAATTAGAGTACTTTGAAAGAAGATAAAACAAAGAGCTATTGGGAAAGGAGAGGGGGGAGAAACCAAGAATTATGAGGGAAAAGAGAGGGGAATAAGATAAAAGGAAAAAATACAAAATGAAGGGAAAGAAGAGGCAACTAGAAGAAAAATGAAATTACCAAAAGGTCAAACTACATATAGATGGGCCACGAAAGTGAGGAGAAAGGGTAGAAGTGAATAGAAAGGAATTTGTCAACTGGCAAATTTTCACTGAGGCAGAACACTTTGCTCACATATCAAAGCCTTCAATTTCTCAGTTATATTGTTCTTATCCTCCTCTCTCCCATTTTTTTGGTATGTGTGCATGATCAGAAGGAGCAATCTGATGAAGCAATCCAGTGATGGTCAACATGTTACAGGAATAACTTTGTCTATATAGCTAGTTATCCAATACAAAGTAAATATATTGATCTATTCACTACACTGAATATAATTAGATAAAAGCTATACATTTTACATGAACTATTTTCCTTTTTTGTTTTTGCTAATAACAAACATTGCTGTCAGCTTTATTTGTAAATGGAAACTGACTTTCAGCTCACATAAAAGGTGACACTTCCATGGCTGCCAGTTGAGGTACAACAGTTTACACAGGTTAAGGATCTGGCCTAGGGACTTTGATAGACGTGGGCGTGAAGAGGAACTGCACTGGGGGGAAAAAAGAGTAAAGTTTATTTCCCAAGGAAGTAAATTAGCAATTAAAATTCCCCAGTGTGTTTCTGTGTGTAGTTTCCAGCCCCTCTCCCC